TCCCCCAGGTGTCAGATTCCTGCGTCCCCCAGGTGTGAGATTCCTGCGTCCCCCAGGTGTGAGATGGCTGCTTCCCCCAGGTGTCAGATTCCTGCGTCCCCCAGGTGTGAGATGGCTGCGTCCCCCAGGTGTGGGATGGCTGTGTCCCCTAGGTGTGAGATTCTTGCGTCCCCCAGGTGTGGGATGGCTGTGTCCCTAAGGTGTGGGATGGCTGTGTCCCCCAGGTATGGGATGGCTGCGTCTCCCAGGTGTGAGATGGCTGTATCCCCAAGGTGTGGGATGGCTGCTTCCCCCAGGTGTGGGATGGCTATGTCCCCCAGGTGTGGGATGGCTGCATCCCCAAGGTGTGAGATGGTTGTGTCCCCAAGGTGTGGGATGGCTGCGTCTCCCAGGTGTGGGCTGGCTGCTGCACACACATCTGGCCCAGTCACCCGGGAGGTGCAAGGCTGGGACTAGAGGCAGGGCCAGCAAGGGCCCCCTTTCTTGGAGGAGGGGGCTGAAAGGCCTGAACTCACCCTGGCCCCCCCATTCTCTAAGAACCAGCTGGAGTTTCTCAGACTTGCTATTGAGAGTCAGGTTAGAATGAGTTCTCAGTGATGCCTCCCACTGCTTACTATGCCTCAGAGACAGTGAATGTCCACTGAAATCTGGTGCCCTGGGAAATCTGTGGGAACCCAAGAAGAGAAATCTCTGCCCCAGGAAGCCTATATTCTAGTGGGGAGGGGGGTCTAGACTTTCCCTCCCTCCCCCTTTTCTTTCCCCACCCCCCACCTATCCCATGACATGTTGCAATTTCCTAGTAAGACAATTCCTGCTTGACCAGTTTGAATGTTTTATTTATTAACTATTGCAGAAAATGCAGATTTTATGCTTGTGGTCTTTGCCTCATTTACCCAATCCATTTTTATTGATCCCTTACCTGAGATTGATGGTGAATAAGACCAGAAGGTCTCCCTGGTTTCCAGCTGCAGGTTAGGCTGAACCTGTGAGGATGCCCCACCCTCCACTACCAGCAAGAAATACCAAAAAACATGACAAAATGCACTGCTGGGCTCTAAAGAAGGGTACATTCCAGAAAAAGAGAAGAATCCAAGCCAGATGCTGGGAGCTAACCTCAGGGCAGTTTAGGGTCTCAGGCCCTCTGGTTCTGGGACCTGAGATGCCCACACTCTTAGCATCTGGAGCCACCTAAATAAAGCTGATGTCTGACAGCCTG